GCTAACCTGAAAATAAACCCTGAAAAGAGAAAAAGAGTATTAGCTTAAAACTAACTTACAACTAACTTAAAATTAACTTAACACTAACTTAAACTAACTTAAAACTAACGAAAACAAAAAACGCTGAATTGATCTCATCGCAGATCAACCAGCACCGGACGCCTCCGTGTTTTTCAAAGATGGGGGAAGGCGCACCCCACTCTGTGGATGAAAGGCTCGGGAGCATCTGTCCGCTTCAGCTTCCTCGGGTTCCACCGACCCTATCCGAATGGAAACCCTATGACCCGCTTGAGCCCAGGAACCGAAGTTCCCCGGTCCCACCGACCCTATCCGAATGGGAACCTCCGGACCCAAGCGAGCCAGAAACCTTAGCGGAGGTTTCGATGCTCCCCTCACCCTCATCGACCCTTCCCGTGTCCCTGCATCCGCGTTATTAGACAGGAGGAATGCAGACTCCTGTTAGCCCCCGTGACTCGAAGTAAATGTGCATCCGAATTTCCGGAGGATGATGCACAACCCTCACCTCACCTCCCGCTTTCGCCGCGAAGGTGGGCATCCTACCCGCAACAAAAAGAGCTACCGCGAAAACGAAAACAAAAAACGCTAAGTTGATCTCATCGTAGATACAACCAGCACCGATCGCCTCCGTGTTTTTCAAAGATGGGGGAAGGCGCACCCCACTCTGTGGATGAAAGGCTCGGGAGCATCTGTCCGCCTCAGTTCCCCGGGTTCCACCGACCCTATCCGAATGGAGACCCTGTGACCCACTTGAGCCCAGGAACCGAAGTTCCCTGGTCCCACCGACCCTATCCGAATGGGAACCTCAGGACCCAAGTGAGCCAGGAACCTTAGCGGAGGTTGCGATGCTCCCCTCACCCTCATCGACCCTTCCCGTGTCCCTGCATCCGCGTTATTAGACAGGAGGAATGCAGACTCCTGTTAGCCCCCGTGACTCGAAGTAAATGTGCATCCGGATTTCCGGAGGATGATGCACAACCCTCACCTCACCTCCCGCTTTCGCCGCGAAGGTGGGCCTCCTACCCGAAGTTTCTAAACCCGCCTCCCGGTAGAGGCGGCTTGTGCAGCAGTGTCCCAATCGAGATACCAATGTCTCGGTCGAGACACCACCGCACCCGGCTGCCTACGTTTATTTATACAGGGGTGGGCAGGCCCCCTGTCGCCGACGTGCAACGCCGACTCCTAACCCGTGTCCCCGCCTCCGCGTTTTTTATTTAAAGCGAGGGGAGGCGGACCCCCGCTTGCGGTATGTTGACCGGTGGATTCAAGTGGGTCTTCCACAGGAACCCATCACCCAACATAACCACGCCATACGGGCACACGTGACTCGAGTTAAATGTGCATCCGGTTTTCCGGAGGGTGATGCACCACCCCTCAACCTCATCTCCCGCTTGAAGAGCGGAAGATGGGCTTCCTACCCGGGAGAAGCTCCGCCTCCACGTGGAGACGGTGTTGTGCTGTGTTGTTTCCATCGGGAAACACTATCGTGCTTCGCGACGGAAGTCAACACTGCACCCGGCTGCCTTCGATTTTTTATACAAGGATGGGCAATCCCCCTGTTGCCGACGTGCGACGCCGGCTCCTTCCCGTGTCCCCGCCTCCGGATTTTTTATTTAAAGCGAGGGGAAGGCGGACCCTTCGCTTGCGGTATGTCAGCCTCCAGGTACCGTAAACACAGTACCCTTCACCTGACATAAGGACCGCTCCACTCGACGGTTCCCGAGACTCGACATAAGTATGCCTCCGATTTTTCCGGAGGGTGAGGCACCAACCCTCTTGAAAGCGAGCCGCGACCCGAAGACTCTACTGCCCGGTGGCCAAAAAGATGGTGGATTTCCGCGTCTCTCCGAGGAGAGACCCGAACTCCACCCACACACACACACTCACACATGCACACACCATTCACACACAGAGGAACCGCCACCGAGATAATCCCGGCCTCTGGCCCGGCAGGTGACAAAGTCACCTTACCAGTCCTTCGGGCGAGGGTCCCGGCCGGTTCCCGTTTTTCCCCCTTTGAGGGACGCTTCACGGCGGAGCACCCGCCGATCCGCCACCTCATCCCCCCTGCGGGAGCACCCACACAAGTTACGGGGCGGAGAGCTAGGCTCCCCCTACAGTGCCGTACCACTGGGCGATTGAAAGTCAGGGCCGCCAACCCCTTCCAGCGAACGAGACTGGTCCGCGGCAGCAGACCTCATCTCTATGGAGTCGCTGGGCTCCATCTGCACCCAAAGCCGGGTACCGTGCTATTTGAAAGCGGGCGCCCACCCCGAAGAAAGTAGAAGTTGAGACCCTGGGACAATCGGTCGAGGAAGAAGGATGGGAGGTTTAGGATGGGTGGAAGAAAGAATGGGTTGGGTGTTCTTCCCACCCGTAACAGCCCCATTGTGCCGGGTTTGGAGTCAGGGTTTTCCTTCCCCTATGCGCATCAGGCCATAAAGCCCGGAGGGAGCGCAACCCCCCTTCTCGTGATGTCCGCGCGGCGGCTTTGGGCTACTCTCATACTCACTACTCACGGCCCGAGGGCCGCTTTCGTTTTCGCTTTCACCGCCACCACCGCGACGAAACACCACGAGGAAGTGCAATGGTGCGCTCTTAGACCCCTCAACCCGAGGAAGAGGGGAGCTCCTCCACCACGACAAGGTGGCGCACCATCGGAGGAGAGATAACCTAACCTTTTTTTTTTTTTTTTTTTACAAGGGGAAATGCATTTACGCATCCCCCGCCAAGTGGAATTGGCGGGGGTATGCGGGACTCCGGGATAAATCCCGACTACCCGCTAAAACCCCTTGGTTGTCTCCTTCAGCGCACAGGGGGAGGGCCACGAGAACGCTTGCGCATGCAGCCGCGACCCCCCCCCAGGCACGCGGTGACCCCTCTCTCGTGAAAGAGAGAGGTCCCCTCCGTGTTGGGGCGTTGTATGCCCAACGGGTGACAGGGCGAGTAACTTAACCCTGCCACCCTCAACACACGTGAGCAGCACTCGGGGCCCCGGTTTCCACCCCGGGACCCGCTGCCCTGTGGGCAGAGCGAGCAAGGGGGAGGACAAGTCCCCCCCCGATAAACACCCCCCCACGCCCAGAGGGGCAAACCCCCCCGCCGCCCACCGCCGCAGACGGAGCGCGGCAAACCCGGGCCGATGCCCCGGGGGGGACCCATGGCCAGACGACGTCCTCAACATAATCCCCGGTTCGTCCTGGGGCCCCCAAGGTGGAAGGATTTACGGGGCGGCTACGGAAGCACGCACCCCAACCGCATCACCCGGGACTCGCCAAGGGACGACGGGGGCGGGGGAAGGTGACCTCCCGGACGCCGGAGCGTACCGGCAACCCCCGCTAATCCCGAAGCCCAAGGCTGGACTACTACCGGGGAATCGCCGCCCGTAGCGACCAATCGCCAGACCCCCGAAGACACCGGCCCCCGGCCCGCACACACCGCCAACAACAGCAGGCGGCGGAGGGACCGCCCTCATCCGGCGACCAACGCTCGGATCTTCGAGCGTTGGCGCACTCTCCGTGCACGTGCACTCTGTGACCGGGCAAGTCCGTCGCGCATCCTCTTAACGCGGCCAAAGCCGCGGAGCCTCGTGAGCGATCGTCGCTCCTCCTTTTACGCGCGTAAACGGACAAGTCCGTCGCACGCCTTCACCTCGCAGCCGAAGCCGCGTGAGCGCTTGCACGCTCCCCTCCCGCGCGCGCTCTCCTCAAAGCAAGACCCCGAATAAATTCGGGGTCTGCTGCGCGCGCAATGGGCACTCTTAGTTCACCGATCCCGCCCCCCCAGGCCGGAACAGCAGCCAATGGCTAACTGAACCGCCCCAGGGGACCGGGACCGACTTAAGCTCCCCCACCACGTCAAGGTGGTGCCCACGGGGGAGTGCACCCTTCAAAGAGGGCCGAAAACAAGGTCCGTAACGCTGCGGGTCCAAGTGCATCTGGACCACGCACGCCGGCCACCCTGCCCACTAATTTTTCCCCCTCTGCCGGGGGACCACCACTGGTGGTGTCCCCCCAGGTGTCCAGCCACCCAGGGGGACCCAGATGATTCGCGTGTGCCTTCGCTTGTTTTAGAGTGGGGTAAGGCAGGCCCCCACTAGGTAGACTCCTGTGTTGAGAGATGTGCCTTCCTCTCGACCGAGCTCCCCTCATTTTAATTGGAGGGGCCCTCTCACCTAGGCAGAATCGGCAGAGAAGTATCGCGTCGACTACTACTCGGGGGGGACGCCAGCCCCGGCGTTTGGTCGACGGTCCCGCTCGATCGCTAGGCCGGCACACCGCCCGTTCAGGCACTAACCATTTGACCGAGGTGATCACATTGGAGATACACCTCGGCACCGCAGATGCCTCCGCGTTTTCCGGCTGGAGGAAGGCATACCCCACCTTGTGGATGAAAGGCTTGGGACCACCCAAGTCTGCTGATGTTCCCGGGTCCCACCGACCCTATCCGTAATGAGCACCCAAGTACCCGCTGAGCCCAAGAACCGAAGTTCCCCGGTTCCACCGACCCTATCCGAATGGAGACCTACAGACCCAGCAAAGCACTAAAGGGACACCAGCAGACCATTACAATGGTCCCCTCACCCTCATCGACCCTTCCCGTGTCCCTGCATCCGCCTTTTTATACAGGAGGAATGCAGACTCCTGTTGAGATATGTCAGCCTCGGGGTCAGCGACCCGTCACTTGACATGCCTCGCCACTCGACGGCATCCGTGACTCGAAATAAGCGTGCATCCGATTTTTCCGGAGGGTGATGCACAAACCCTCGCTGCATCTCCTACCCGACGCGAGCTAACCTGAAAAAGAAAAACCTGAAAGAAAAAGAAGGATTAACTTAAAACTAACTTAAAAACTACCTTATAACTAACTTAAAATTAACTTAAAATTAACTTAAACTAACTTAAAAATTAACGAAAACAAAAAACGCTGAATTGATCTCATCGCAGATCAACCAGCACCGGACGCCTCCGTGTTTTTCAGAGATGGGGGAAGGCGCACCCCACTCTGTGGATGAAAGGCTCGGGAGCATCTGTCCGCCTCAGCTTCCTCGGGTTCCACCGACCCTATCCGAATGGAAACCCTATGACCCGCCTGAGCCCAGGAACCGAAATTCCCTGGTCCCACCGACCCTATCCGAATGGGAACCTTCGGACCCAGGCGAGCCAGAAACCTTAGCGGAGGTTTCGATGCTCCCCTCACCCTCATCGACCCTTCCCGTGTCCCTGCATCCGCGTTTTTATACAGGAGGAATGCAGACTCCTGTTGGCCCACGTGACTCGAAGTAAATGTGCATCCGGATTTCCGGAGGGTGATGCACAACCCTCACCTCACCTTCCGCTTTCGCCGCGAAGGTGGGCATCCTACCCGCAACAAAAAGAACTACCGCGAGAACGAAAACAAAAAACGCTGAATTGATCTCATCGCAGATCAACCAGCACCGGACGCCTTCGAGTTTTTCAAAGCTGGGGAAGGCGCACCCCACTCTGTGGATGAAAGGCTCGGGAGCATCTGTCCGCCTCAGCTTCCTCGGGTTTCACCGACCCTATCCGAATGGAAACCCTATGACCCGCTTGAGCCCAGGAACCGAAGTTCCCCGGTCCCACCGACCCTATCCGAATGGAAACCTCCGGACCCAAGCGAGCCAGAAACCTTAGCGGAGGTTGCGATGCTCCCCTCACCCTCATCGACCCTTCCCGTGTCCCTGCATCCGCGTTATTATACAGGAGGAATGCAGACTCCTGTTAGCCCCCGTGACTCGAAGTAAATGTGCATCCGGATTTCCGGAGGATGATGCACAACCCTCGCCTCACCTCCCGCTTTCGCCGCGAAGGTGGGCATCCTACCCGAAGTTTCTAAACCCGCCTCCCGGTAGAGGCGGCTTGTGCAGCAGTGTCCCAATCGAGATACCAATGTCTCGGTCGAGACACCACCGCACCCGGCTGCCTACGTTTATTTATACAGGGGTGGGCAGGCCCCCTGTCGCCGACGTGCAACGCCGACTCCTAACCCGTGTCCCCGCCTCCGCGTTTTTTATTTAAAGCGAGGGGAGGCGGACCCCCGCTTGCGGTATGTTGACCGGTGGATTCAAGTGGGTCTTCCACAGGAACCCATCACCCAACATAACCACGCCATACGGGCACACGTGACTCGAGTTAAATGTGGCATCCGGTTTTCCGGAGGGTGATGCACCACCCCTCAACCTCACCTCCCCGCTTGAAGAGCGGAAGATGGGCTTCCTACCCGAGAGAAGCTCCGCCTCCACGTGGAGACGGTGTTGTGCTGTGTTGTTTCCATCGGGAAACACTATCGTGCTTCGCGACGGAAGTCAACACTGCACCCGGCTGCCTTCGATTTTTTATACAAGGGTGGGCAATCCCCCTGTTGCCGACGTGCGACGCCGGCTCCTTCCCGTGTCCCCGCCTCCGGATTTTTTATTTAAAGCGAGGGGAAGGCGGACCCTTCGCTTGCGGTATGTCAGCCTCCAGGTACCGTAAACACAGTACCCTTCACCTGACATAAGGACCGCTCCACTCGACGGTTCCCGAGACTCGACATAAGTATGCCTCCGATTTTTCCGGAGGGTGAGGCACCAACCCTCTTGAAAGCAAGCCGCGACCCGAAGACTCTACTGCCCGGTGGCCAAAAAGATGGTGGATTTCCGCGTCTCTCCGAGGAGAGACCCGAACTCCACCCACACACACACTCACACATGCACACACCATTCACACACAGAGGAACCGCCACCGAGATAATCCCCGCCTCTGGCCCGGCAGGTGACAAAGTCACCCCACCAGTCCCTCGGGCGAGGGTCCCGGCCGGTTCCCGTTTTTCCCCTTTGAGGGACGCTTCACGGCGGGAGCACCCACCGATCCGCCACCTCATCCCCCCTGTGGGAGCACCCACACAAGTTACGGGCGGAGAGCTAGGCTCCCCCTACAGTGCCGTACCACTGGGCGATTGAAGTCAGGGCCGCCAACCCCTTCCAGCGAACGAGACTGGTCCGCGGCAGCAGACCTCATCTCTATGGAGTCGCTGGGCTCCATCTGCACCCAAAGCCGGGTACCGTGCTATTTGAAAGCGGGCGCCACCCCGAAGAAAAGTAGAAGTGGAGACCTTGGGACAATCGGTCGGGGAAGAAGGATGGGAGGTTTAGGATGGGAGGAAGAAAGAATGGGTTGGGTGTTCTTCCACCCGTAACAGCCCCATTGTGCCGGGTTTGGAGTCAGGGTTTTCCTTCCCCTATGCGCATCAGGCCATAAAGCCCGGAGGGAGCGCAACCCCCCTTCTCGTGATGTCCGCCCACAACGACTTCGGATTACTCACATACTCGCTACTCACGGCCCGAGGGCCGCTTTCGTTTTCGTTTTCATCCGAAGCCGCCGCCTACAGCGGACACCACGAGGAAGTGCAATGGTGCGCTCTTAGACCCCTCAACCCGAAGGAAGAGGGGAGCTCCTCCACCACGACAAGGTGGCGCACCATCGGAGGAGTAAGGAGAACCTAACCTAACCTAACCTTTTTTTTTTTTTTTTTTTTTTTTTTTTTTTTTACAAGGGGAAATGCATTTACGCATCCCCCCGCCAAGTGGAATTGGCGGGGGGTATGCGGGACTCCGGGATAAATCCCGACTACCCGCTAAAACCCCTTGGTTGTCTCCTTCAGCGCACAGGGGGGAGGGCCACGAGAACGCTTGCGCATGCAGCCGCGACCCCCCCCCCAGGCACGCGGTGACCCCTCTCTCGTGAAAGAGAGAGGTCCCCTCCGTGTTGGGGCGTTGTATGCCCCAACGGGTGACAGGGCGAGTAACTTAACCCTGCCACCCCTCAACACACGTGAGCAGCACTCGGGGCCCCGGTTTCCACCCCGGGACCCCGCTGCCCTGTGGGCAGAGCGAGCAAGGGGGGAGGACAAGTCCCCCCCCGATAAACACCCCCCCACGCCCAGAGGGCAAACCCCCCCGCCGCCCACCGCCGCAGACGGAGCGCGGCAAACCCGGGCCCGATGCCCCCGGGGGGGACCCATGGCCAGACGACGTCCTCAACATAATCCCCGGGTTCGTCCTGGGGCGCCCCAAGGTGGAAGGATTTACGGGGCGGCTACGGAAGCACGCACCCCAACCGCATCACCCGGGACTCGCCAAGGGACGACGGGGGCGGGGGAAGGCGACCTCCCGGACGCCGGAGCGTACCGGCAACCCCCGCTAATCCCGAAGCCCAAGGCTGGACTACTACCGGGGAATCGCCGCCCGTAGCGACCAATCGCCAGACCCCCGAAGACACCGGCCCCCGGCCCGCCACACACCGCCAACAACAGCAGGCGGCGGAGGGACTCGCCCTCACTCCGGCGACCAACGCTCGGATCTTCGAGCGTTGGCGCACTCTCCGTGCACGTGCACTCTGTGACCGGGCAAGTCCGTCGCGCATCCTCTTAACGCGGCCAAAGCCGCGGAGCCTCGTGAGCGATCGTCGCTCCTCCTTTTACGCGCGTAAACGGACAAGTCCGTCGCACGCCTTCACCTCGCAGCCGAAGCCGCGTGAGCGCTTGCACGCTCCCCTCCCGCGCGCGCTCTCCTCAAAGCAAGACCCCGAATAAATTCGGGGTCTGCTGCGCGCGCAATGGGCACTCTTAGTTCACCGATCCCGCCCCCCCAGGCCGGAACAGCAGCCAATGGCTAACTGAACCGCCCCAGGGGACCGGGACCGACTTAAGCTCCCCCACCACGTCAAGGTGGTGCCCACGGGGGAGTGCACCCTTCAAAGAGGGCCGAAAACAAGGTCCGTAACGCTGCGGGTCCAAGTGCATCTGGACCACGCCCGCCGGCCACCCTGCCCACTAATTTTTTCCCCCTCTGCCGGGGGACCACCACTGGTGGTGTCCCCCCAGGTGTCCAGCCACCCAGGGGGACCCAGATGATTCGCGTGTGCCTTCGCTTGTTTTAGAGTGGGGTAAGGCAGGCCCCCACTAGGTAGACTCCTGTGTTGAGAGATGTGCCTTCCTCTCGACCGAGCTCCCCTCATTTTAATTGGAGGGGCCCTCTCACCTAGGCAGAATCGGCAGAGAAGTATCGCGTCGACTACTACTCGGGGGGGACGCCAGCCCCGGCGTTTGGTCGACGGTCCCGCTCGATCGCTAGGCCGGCACACCGCCCGTTCAGGCACTAACCATTTGACCGAGGTGATCACATTGGAGATACACCTCGGCACCGCAGATGCCTCCGCGTTTTCCGGCTGGAGGAAGGCATACCCCACCTTGTGGATGAAAGGCTTGGGACCACCCAAGTCTGCTGATGTTCCCGGGTCCCACCGACCCTATCCGTATGAGCACCCAAGTACCCGCTGAGCCCAAGAACCGAAGTTCCCCGGTTCCACCGACCCTATCCGAATGGAGACCTACAGACCCAGCAAAGCACTAAAGGGACACCAGCAGACCATTACAATGGTCCCCTCACCCTCATCGACCCTTCCCGTGTCCCTGCATCCGCCTTTTTATACAGGAGGAATGCAGACTCCTGTTGAGATATGTCAGCCTCGGGGTCAGCGACCCGTCACTTGACATGCCTCGCCACTCGACGGCATCCGTGACTCGAAATAAGCGTGCATCCGATTTTTCCGGAGGGTGATGCACAAACCCTCGCTGCATCTCCTACCCGACGCGAGCTAACCTGAAAAAGAAAAACCTGAAAGAAAAAGAAGGATTAACTTAAAACTAACTTAAAAACTACCTTATAACTAACTTAAAATTAACTTAAAATTAACTTAAACTAACTTAAAAATTAACGAAAACAAAAAACGCTGAATTGATCTCATCGCAGATCAACCAGCACCGGACGCCTCCGTGTTTTTCAGAGATGGGGGAAGGCGCACCCCACTCTGTGGATGAAAGGCTCGGGAGCATCTGTCCGCCTCAGCTTCCTCGGGTTCCACCGACCCTATCCGAATGGAAACCCTATGACCCGCCTGAGCCCAGGAACCGAAATTCCCTGGTCCCACCGACCCTATCCGAATGGGAACCTTCGGACCCAGGCGAGCCAGAAACCTTAGCGGAGGTTTCGATGCTCCCCTCACCCTCATCGACCCTTCCCGTGTCCCTGCATCCGCGTTTTTATACAGGAGGAATGCAGACTCCTGTTGGCCCACGTGACTCGAAGTAAATGTGCATCCGGATTTCCGGAGGGTGATGCACAACCCTCACCTCACCTTCCGCTTTCGCCGCGAAGGTGGGCATCCTACCCGCAACAAAAAGAACTACCGCGAGAACGAAAACAAAAAACGCTGAATTGATCTCATCGCAGATCAACCAGCACCGGACGCCTTCGAGTTTTTCAAAGCTGGGGAAGGCGCACCCCACTCTGTGGATGAAAGGCTCGGGAGCATCTGTCCGCCTCAGCTTCCTCGGGTTTCACCGACCCTATCCGAATGGAAACCCTATGACCCGCTTGAGCCCAGGAACCGAAGTTCCCCGGTCCCACCGACCCTATCCGAATGGAAACCTCCGGACCCAAGCGAGCCAGAAACCTTAGCGGAGGTTGCGATGCTCCCCTCACCCTCATCGACCCTTCCCGTGTCCCTGCATCCGCGTTATTATACAGGAGGAATGCAGACTCCTGTTAGCCCCCGTGACTCGAAGTAAATGTGCATCCGGATTTCCGGAGGATGATGCACAACCCTCGCCTCACCTCCCGCTTTCGCCGCGAAGGTGGGCATCCTACCCGAAGTTTCTAAACCCGCCTCCCGGTAGAGGCGGCTTGTGCAGCAGTGTCCCAATCGAGATACCAATGTCTCGGTCGAGACACCACCGCACCCGGCTGCCTACGTTTATTTATACAGGGGTGGGCAGGCCCCCTGTCGCCGACGTGCAACGCCGACTCCTAACCCGTGTCCCCGCCTCCGCGTTTTTTATTTAAAGCGAGGGGAGGCGGACCCCCGCTTGCGGTATGTTGACCGGTGGATTCAAGTGGGTCTTCCACAGGAACCCATCACCCAACATAACCACGCCATACGGGCACACGTGACTCGAGTTAAATGTGCATCCGGTTTTCCGGAGGGTGATGCACCACCCCTCAACCTCACCTCCCGCTTGAAGAGCGGAAGATGGGCTTCCTACCCGAGAGAAGCTCCGCCTCCACGTGGAGACGGTGTTGTGCTGTGTTGTTTCCATCGGGAAACACTATCGTGCTTCGCGACGGAAGTCCAACCTTTTTTTTTTTTTTTTTTTTTTTTTTTTTTTTTTTTTTTTTTTTTTTTTTTTTTTTTTTTTAACCCAGGGGAAATCCTTGATGGATACCCGCAGTCCCCGGGGAGGGACCGCGGGTTATGTGGGACTCCCTCCCAGAAGGGGAGGTATACCCACTAAAACCCCTGGGGTGGCCATCCCGGCGGCAGGAGGAGGGGACAGGGACCCGGGACTCGCAGTTGCAATACTTCGAGTCCCTGCCCCCCTATGTCCTCCCCCGCGGCGATCGGGAGGCGACGTCACGGGTGTTCGGTGATCGTCGCCGCCCGATCCTCTTCCCGGGGAGGGCTCCATCGGCCCTCCTTCTGCGCGCGCGTGTCGCGGTTGCGGGTGGACAGGGCCACACTGCCCACCCGCGTCCCTCCCTTGGTGGTCAGGGGGGACGGGGTCGGGGTCCGAGTTCACCCGACTCGGGCCCCGGCCCCTTTAGCCCCCGGATTGGTGCTCCCTCCGCCCCCCGTAGGGAAGCGGATTCGGCAGTCAACCCGGGGACCCACCACGAGGTTCGAGCAGGGGACAGAAGGTCCCCCGCCGTTATCCCTCCCCTCACGAGGGGGTCTCCGGGAAGAGGACATTCGCCCGTAGGCTACTAGCCCTCCCCCGAAGATCCCCTGGGGGGGGGGAACTATGAACTCCGCTATTTAGCGGACTCCACCGTCCCCCCCCCAATGGCCGTAGCCTCCCCCTCCGGCCGCCCGAACCAGAAGATCCGTGGCGGCACAGAGGAGGGGCCGACCTCTCCGAGGCCATCCACGCCCTCCCCCGGATCCCACCCTTCCGGATGGGAATCCAGGGGACCGCGCTTTTGGCCCCCTCCTTCTCCTTCCTTAGACGGGGGAAGCCCCCGTCCCGCACCTGGGCTCAGCGGAGCTCCGCCTCGCCCACTCTTCACCCTTCCTGGGGGCGGAGGTTTACACCCCTCCGCCCCCAGGATATGCCCCGCGGGGAGCCCGCGATCCGCACACAGCGGACATCGCGGGCGCCCCGCGCGGCATGTCGCCATCTTGTGGGAGGGTGCGCTGCATTTATAGCAGCGCACCCCCCTGCTCCCACCACTCTCCGGGCACTGCGCCGCCACGTGCCCGGCCTCAAGGCAGGAGTAGCACCGGGCCGGCCATTCGCTCGGCAATACTGCCGAGGGACGGCCGACACGGCGCCACCCCCGCCTCCTCCTTCTTTTTCTTCCCTCATCAGGGGAAGACCTCCCCCCCTCCTCGGAGGGGGATGACTCCACTCCGGAATCACCCCTCCGGGGAGGGGGGGCCTCCACTCCCGTTTCGTTGGTGGCGGGGACCTCTACAACGAGGTCCCCGTCACCATCTCGCCCTATCCTCAATACCCCGAGTCCCGGGGCCAGGATTTTGACTCCTGGGGCCCGGGCACTCGGGGCCTTCACCGCGTCGGCGTACGAGAGGCCGGCCGGCACAGACCCCCTGACCGTAGTCCCGGGGGTCCCATCGACCGCACCTCTCCCACGCCGACACTCCTGGGGGGCAGCATCAGCTTCTGCAGCTGATCTGCTCCCCCCACTCTCCACCGTGGAAGTGCATCCGCACTTCCCCTTCCACGCCCTCAGCGTCTGCGTACTCCGACTCTTGGAGCCGACCCTCGCAGCTCGCCCACTCAGTGGGGATGTGCCCCGGTCCCGAACATCCGGACCGAGGCACACCCCCACCGAGACACTCCTCGTCGCATACTCATCTTCGCAGACGAGTACCAGCGGGGATGTGCTCCGGTCCACCCTTTCCGGTCCGGGACACATCCCCGCCGCATCGCTCCTCGTGGGCACCTCCGACGCCTCCAACCCGTCCAGTAGGTGCTCTCTCACCTCGACGAATCTCTCGGCCATCCACTCGATCCATCTCACTAGGCCCAAGGCCTCGAGAGAATCGAGGAGCACGTCTTCCTCGTCGTAAAGCGGGCCCTCGGTTGTTCTGGCCGCCTCATCAATCCTGCGCTCAATGCAGGCCTTCCACTCCAGGCCAGCTTTCCTCATGGCGAGCAAATCCGCCATGAGGAACCTGGCCTTCTCGTCTTTTGGGGCGGTAGCCCCTTCGCCCCCAGTGCCCGCCCTTGACACTGAGGGCAGCCCGTCGTCTGATGACGACGGGGGAGGGGCCGGGACGCTACCCCCCACACCCGCCGGGCCCTGAGGCTCCGAGGACCTCTGGGCCGGTAATGATCGGCGCTTGTTCCGGACCATTTTCATCTCGTTTTTTGTTTTTTATCGAGGTTGTCTCCTCTAGGCTATTTGACAGCAGGCGCCACCCCGAAGAAAGAAGAAGAAAAGCTGGCTATTGGAAAGCAGGCGCCACCCCGAAGAAAGTAGAGGGGGAAACCGGGGACAAAGGGGCAAGGAAAAAAGGAAAGGAGGTTATGGATAGGTAAGGAAGAAAGAATGGGTTGGGTGTTCTCCCACCCGTCACGGCCCCATTGTACCGGGTTTGGAGTCAGGGTTTTCCTTCCCCTATCCGCATTAGGCCAAAGTGCCCGAAGGGAGCGGAATCCCCTCTTCCCATGGTGTTCGCCAGCGACGACTTCGGATTACTCACTACTCGCTACTCACGGCCCGAAGGCCGCTTTCGTTTTCGTTTTCATCTTCCGTCGTCGCCGACGAACACCACGAGGGAGTGCAATGGACGCTCTTAGTTCACCGCCCCGCCCCCCCAGGCCGAAACAGCAGCCAATGGCTGACTGAGTCGCCCCAGGGGACCGGGAACGGCTTAAGCCTCTCCACCACGGCAAGGTGGCGTCCACGGAGAGGAACCTAACCTAACCTAACCTAACCTAACCTAACCTAACCTAACCTAACCTAACCTAACCTAACCTAACCTAACCTAACCTAACCTAACCTTTTTTTTTTTTTTTTTTGGTTTTCCAGAGGAGGGCAGGGGAAATGCACGAGTCCCAGTCACCTCCCCATAAGGGGAGAGGGCCGGGACCCCACCTGATGCACACCCCCCGAGCCAGTCTCGGGGGGTAGTGCGGGGCTCTCCCTCCTCCAGCGGAGGGCCTACCCGCTAAAACCCCTGCCCGGAGGGGGGGTCTGAAAGACCCCCCATGGAAAAAAGCTTCTTCCGATTGTCCTAGTCAACTTTCAGAGGGACCGGAAGCCATACTTCCCTGAAAAGCTGGGACTTCAGCACGCAAACGTGCACTGCAGATACTGGTTAACTCAGTTTCATTTTACTATTCTAGATAAATCAAGTAAGGAAGAGGACAACAGTCCAATGGGCCATCGGGAGCTTCCAATCGGATCAACCCTAACTTATCAGGATAGGGATGTATCGAGACAAGGTAAGAGAAATTCTACTTTATGTACATATATATACATTTGACCTTACTTTAACTATATATACACACACATATATACACTTACACACATTCATACTCACACACACACACACACACACACACACCCAGACATTCCATAAAAGAACTCTCAAACTCACTTACTTACATATATACATATATACATATATATACACACACTCATTCGCATTCACACTTTATATATATATCCGTATATACAGCTTCATCATGCTTTACAAAAGGATTTCCGTTCTAGGTACTGTCTATACTGGTTCTAACAGATAGCGACCGCGATCGCGATCTTCTGGCTTGACGAGCGCGTTCTTCATTTTCTTTGGTTAGCATAACTTCCCTGCAAAACGTGGTAAAAGCTATCCAGTTTTCTTTGTTTTCCAATATCTTTTTAATTATAGTCTCTAATTTTAAGTCACTACCGATAAATCCAACCAGAGTGTTTCTATGTGTCTGCCAGCGAGGACAGTACTCTATTGTATGCTCTGGGGTATCCACTACATTTCGATTACAAGCCATGCAGAAAGGAGAATCAGCCCTCTGGATTCGGTCCAAATAAGATCCAAAGCAGCCGTGTCCGGTTAGGATTTGGGTGAGGTGGAACTCTAGCCTTCCGTGTTTTCTGTCCTTCCACTCCTTGAAGGAGGGCAAAATCGCATTTACAGTACGGAGCCCATATTTAGCATTTTCTAACTTCAATAGCCATTGTCTGTATAATAGCAAA